ACCATTTGAAAAAACTCGAAGATGAACCATATAGCCTAGAAATATTGAAAAAAAATTAAGAAAATGTTATGAATGCATAAAATATATGTATACTAGTCTATTAAGTTAAAATTTATCAAAACTATGTACACAAAGACTACATAGAACCATTTGCAGTTGACAGAAATGTAACAAAAGTAAAGATGTAGTATTAAATCATAACTGTATAAAACTGACTGTAATACATACTGCACTGCTGTAATAATTTTGTAGCCACCTTCTGTTGCTGTTTCAGTGAGCTCCAGTGTTGCCAGAATCTGCTTAAGACACCTGTGATGTTAATCATTTTCATATGAGAAGTCTCTCCAGTAAATCGTGTATTGCAGTAAAAAGCGATCTGTTGCGATTCTTGAGTATTTTTCATGTTTAGTGCAATACTGTAAACTTTGCATAACACCATGGGACCCATATGAAGTGCCACTAGTGGTGCTAGAAGTCTCCCCAAGAAGCAAAGTCATGACATTACAAGAAAAAGTTGAATTGCTTTTTATGTACTGTAGATTAAGAGCTGCAGTTGCCTTCCATTTCAGATAGACAACTCATCTTGTAACCAGACAACATAAACTTATTGATACATACAGTATTGTAAATGTATTTTCTCATTATGATTTTCATAACTTTTTTCTCTAGCTTTATTGTTAGATTATAGTATATAATATAATACATATAACAATATGTGTTAATTCACTGTTTATGTTACCGGTAAGGCTGGTCAGTAGTAGGCTATTAGGTAAGTTTTTGAGGAGTCAAAAATTATACACAGATTTTTGACTGCTTCGGGGGAGTCTGCACCCCTAACCGCTGTGTTGTTCAAGGGTCAACTATACTTTCAAATTTTGGAGGGTTTGGTTTTACTGCTAAATGTCTTTTAGTCAATATGTGGGAGATTTGGATCAAAGATTGTACGGCAAGAAATGTGTTTTGATAACTGTTTTCTTTTTCTGATGGGTTCCAATGTAGTGATTCCTACAGATTTTTGTTAGTTGACAGTCTGATTAAGGTAAAAATAGGTATAGCCCATTTTTACTGAATAGCAAAAATATTAGCCTTAAAACCAGTCTTACTATGAAGATATCTCAGCACATAAAAATACTACAGTTGAAAAATCAAAGATCTTTTTTTTTTAATTTTTTTTTTTTAATTTTTCATGAGATAGAGTTTCACTTTGTTGCCCTGGGTACCATGCAGTGGTGTCATCATAGCACACTGCAACCTCAAACTCCTGAGCCTCCTGCCTCAGCCTCCCAAGTAGCTGGGACTACAGGCATTTGTTATCACACCTGGCTGATATTTCTATTTGTGTGTGTGTGTGTGTGTAGAGACGGGTCTCACTCTTGTTCAGGCTGGTCTTGAACTCCTGAGCTCAAGTAATCCTCTCACCTCTGCCTTCCAGAGTGCTAGGATTACAGACATGAGCCACCGCAGCCAGACGAAAAATCAAAGGTCTTTTCGGGAACTTATTATTTTGTAAATAATGGTTAGAGTGAGATTTTAAATACTGAGATTTAGAGCTCATTTTTATAGGTGAGAAGATAAACATATAAAAAGGTGAACAGCTTACCCACAGTTACACAATCAAATTATTATGGAATCCATCCCGAAATCCAAAATCGTTGGGCCGTTGAAACTGGTCCCTGGTGCCAAGAAGGTTGGGGACTGCTGCACTAGAGGATGTGGCCTCTTGATGCTGACTTAGTTCAAAACCTAGCAAAGTTTGATGTTTGTAAAACATTTCTTTAAAGTAGCTTCAGTACAGTTTCTTAAAAGAGCCAAGTAGTAAATATTTTAAGCTCTGAGGGCCAAGTGGTCTCTGTTACAACTATTCAACACATCCCTTGAGTGAAAGCAACCGTAGGTAATGTGTAAATAAATGGGCCTGGCTCTGTACTAATAAGAGTCTACAAAAATGGCCAAGTAGCTAGTGTGCTGGCTTCTCCACCCCTGCCTTAAAGCATATTGATAGTGTAGACATTTCCAGGATAGTGAAGTTACCCCAATTAGTATAGTTAGGGTTAGACGATGGTCTCAACTTTGATAAGACCTGGGCTATTTGAAGAGTGACTGTGGGTGTGTCACCAGCAGTTTTGCACACCATTAAGTAACCAGGGGTTAAGGGGTATGGTGCATCTCATCCTGCTCTGTGATTACTTCATTTCTGTATCAGGAATTGACAGTTCTTCTGACCCATCTGTAATTCACCTCAACCCCTTGCAGCCAGGGTAATAAGTAGTTCCCATGGAGAACCAATATGTGGTGCATTGGTAGTATAACTGAACATTTATTACTTGCTTTCTACATATGCTGATATATGGAGATTCAGTAGTGACAAAGATGAGACTTGTATTTTAGAAGAATTCATCTTATTTACAGGTAGGGATGGAGAAGGTGGGGGAGAAGTTAGTTTGGGGACAGCATTCAACTAGGAACAGTACTCCTAGGTAACAAGCCTCTCAGTAATCTTTGGGAAACATAATGGAGCTTGAGGTAAAGCATTAAAGATAGGGTAATTTGCTGATAGTTTTATGAAGTAGATTCCAAAAATATCCTGGGCTGGGTGCTGTGGTTCATGCCTGTGACACCAGCACTTTGAGAGGCCAAGGACAGGAGCTCAAGACCAGCCTGGGCAACATAATGAAGACCCCGTCTCTACGGAAAATAAAAATAAACTAGCTGGAAGTGGTGGCACACACCTATAGTCCCAGCTACTCCTGTAGGCCCAGCTATTCAGGAGGCTGAGGTGGGACAATTGCTTGAGCCCAGAAGTTTGAGGCTGCTGTGAGGTATGATAGCACCACTGTACTCCAGGCTGGGCAACAGAGCAAGACCTTGTCTCTTAAAAAAAAAAAAGACTGTATCCTGGGCTTATTGATTGTAGGACTAAGAGAACAGGCATTTTAGGATGACTCCATGGTTTCTGACTTGGGTGCATTTGTGGTGTACCGTTAATCAATATTAGCTGTATAGGAAGGAGTGAAAGTTTTCGTGGGGCATGTGCTAAAATAAGTTCGGTTTGGATATGAGTTTTGAGGTGTAGTGAGAGGGAGGTTGTGGAGCATCCAGTGACCAGGAGTCAATACTAGAAAGGAAGTTCTGTGAGACCGTTAACTTGTTGACAGTGGATTGCGAACTGTTGCAGCTCTACTGCTTAGTAAGTTTGCCTGACTTCTTATGGGCACTTTAAATAGTTCCTTTGTGTCATACTCTATTGATAGGAATGTAAATTGATACAGTCTTTCTGAAAATCATTTTGTATCAAGAACCTTAAACGTAATTATTCCCTCAGACCCGTAATTCTCCTTTGGGGAATTTATGCTAATTTTTCTTTCTAAGATTTTGAGCACAAAAAGTTTATCATATAGACAAATGGAAGTGTCTAAATGTCTAATAGTTGGGAAATAGCTAAGTAAATACTGGTTGCATAAGATGGAATGATGAACAACTATTGTAGTCATTGTTATATTTGAGAACTTTTTTCCGATCTGAGAAAAGTCTTATAAGGATGAAGAATTACAAGTGTTTCTCATACTTCAATGTGCATATGGATCCCCTGAAGAACTTGTTAAAAGGCAGATTCCAATTCAGTAGGTCTTAGGTAGGACCTGAGATTCTGCATTCCTAGCCATTTCCAAGTGATCTCTTGTTCTCTGAACCACATTTGGAATGGAAAAGTGCTAGATGAAATAAGCCAGGCACAGGAAGACACATAATACGTGTTCTCATTTATATATGGAATCGAAAACAACCAATCTCATAGAAATGGAGTAGAATGGCAGTGACCATAGGCTGGGGGTGGCAGGGGGAGGAAAGATGTTGGTCAATGGGTACAATGTTTCAGTTACAAGGAATAAATTTTAAGTATTTGAGGTGGTGGATATGTTAATTATCTTCATTCGGTCTTCCCACATTTATACATATATTAATATAATATCACTTTGTACCTCATAAATATATATAATTATAATTCAGTTTTTTAAAAGGTGCCAGATGACTTTGTCTTAACAGAAATATGCTAAAAGATTAGAAGTGGTTTCCTCTATAAGAGGGGTTATTAGGCCTTCTTTCCCTGAGTACTCTTAATTTTCTGCATTTTTTATGTTTTCCCTGTCAACGTGTTACATAAATTAGATATGCCTATTACTTTTTGAGCACTTACTATGTTTTCAACCACTGGGCTATGTTTTGTGCACATTATTTTCAATGAAACTGTCGGGTAGGCAGAGGAATGTAAAGGTGCCTATCTCATGGGGTTTTATGGAGATTTTTCCGAGTAATCCACATTTAGTGACTTAGTTTAGTGCCAGGCATTTATTAAATCTCAATAAATGGTAGCTTCTATGATCATCATCATTGTTGTTATTTCTTATCTTGCCTTTGTAGATGAGACAGTTGGGACACAGAGGAAGAAAGTAACTTGCCTCGAGTCACATGGCAAATAGGTGGCATAACCTGGATTTCAGCCCAGATCTGTCTGATTTTAAAGCTCACCATTATACTCTCTCTGGTGTTGGAAGCAAACATCAATGTAGCCACTGCAACCTGATCTCTTCACATTACCTTTAAGGGTCCCCCTACTGAAGCACCACACACAATCTTCTAAAAACAAGGCCAGGTTTTTGCTTAAGTTTTGTTAAGAGCTTCTTCTGAACTTTCTTATTATGTTCAGAAATTAGAGAGTAATTTGGCATAAGAAGGTAAAAAAATGAGAAAATTGTTTGGATAAATAGATTTAGACAACCAAATGAAAAAGTATTTTTTGTTTTCATTTAACATTGAGTAAATACCAAAGAACATTTAAAAGAAATATATAAAATGTAATATATGTATAATGTAATGAATGAACACCCATGAACCTACTACCCAGTTTTGCAAAAAAAGTTATCCTCTTTTCCCCCTCGTAGAAAATCACTATCCTGAATTTTCATTTGCTTGCTTTCCTTTTGGTTTTTCCACATATACTCAGTCCCTAAGCAATATATTGTTTAGTTTTATATAAAATGCAATTATACATTATGTATTTTTCTGCAACTTGCTTTTTCGACAAATATTTATATTCCTGAGTTTTAGTCATATTATGTATAGCTATAATTTATTCATTCGCTGCATTCCATTGTATAACTACACTGTAATTTCTTCATTCAGCCTACTGATGCACCTTTGGGTTGTTCCCAGATTTTTTGTTTGTTATTTCTAGCAGTGCTGTGATGAAGATTATTCATGTTTCATGGTGCCCATTTGCAAGAGTTTCTTGGGAATGTGTGTAGGAGTATAATTGCTAGGTCATATGGCATGTACCATATTAAACTTTACTAGGTAGTGCTCTAAATTGTTTTCCAAAGTGGTTGTACTAATTTATGCACCTATCATCAGTGTATAAATGTCCTAATTATTCCACACTTTCACAAACATTTGATATAGACAGGCTTTTAGATTTTGCCCATTTGGTTGATGTAAAATGACATTACAAATGTATATTTCACTTTTAAAAGAGTTCTCTTTTCTGGTTTTATGAATGAGTAATCCCTACAGTGACCTTTAGAGTTATGTGGACACTTTTGGAATGCAAATTGTGGGTATTGTCCTATTAAACCCTATAGAATTTCAATTTTTCATTTGCTTTGTACTTTAGTCGCATATAAGATTTGTTATGGTATTTTTAAAAACTCAACTTGGTTGGCTTTTAGTTCATTTCAAAACATATTTTATGTATATTCTAAAATAATTTCACAGCATTTTGCTACTGAAAGATGGAAAAATCTGAAGAATTCAGCTGTTCTTGCTAAAAATTTTAAGTTTGAAAGTTGAAATCATAA